TGGCATCTCTCTAAGAACGGAGTGCCTGCCCTGTTAATGAATGACGCTCAAATTCTCGGCGGTGCTGGAGTAAACCTGTTTTGGGGTTGGGGGGTGCATGTTGTAACATTTTTTCCCACTATTTTTGAGTCCTGAGTAAGAATGACATCTGCCCATCTTGAGCCTGATTAGAAAAAAGGTCTATTTTATTCAGAAAAAGGGAAATTGAAGCAGGTAGTTCAATTATTAGCCCTCTAAGGAACTACCCAGAGGAAACCCTAATATGCTCTCTGCCAGCGTTGCCCTCTCCCCAAACTGTCTCAGAAGCAAATTAAAAGCCCATTGCTTAGACTGTGTTCACTCACAAATTGGTCAGGCTATTCAATTATCTTGGTTTATCCCGATTAAGCCATTCCATTTACTTCCTTTGCATTTAATTTTAAAAATTAGACACATCTGGAGGAGTATTTCATCATCTCTTTTAAAAATAGCACTCCTCTAAGATGAAAAGTTCAGGAGATTGGCTGCGCAACAGTATAAATGTACTTGATTCTACAACTATGCACTTTAAAATGGCTAAGGAGGTAAATTTTATGTTATGTGTATTTTACCATGATTATAATTTTAAAAAATCATTCCTCTAATTATGTAAAGAGAAGCAGAAAGAAGAGAATAAAGACCTCCTGTAGTCCCATCGCCTCGAGACAGGTAAACTGAGGTGCAGCGTTCCTGGCTGGGCCTTGGTCGTTCCTTCATACACAGATACAGAAACAGACATATCAGACATGTAGACAATGGGCTGGATGGTCTGGCAGCATAGCTTTTCACCTAATATTATAATCAGGCCCTTGTCTTCAGCTTACATCATTTGGTTGTCAGGAGAATGTTGTTTTTTAAAGCCTCCTGTTCAGAAAATGTCATGGTCACACAGTTCTTAACTAACTTTATATTATGCGAATGACAAAGCACACTGCTGGGTCTAATACAGTAAACAGCAAGTATCACATCTAGCCTGGAGTGCATGTTTAACATACCAAAGCCATCAGATAGAGACCGTGCTGATATTTGGATAAAGAAAAAATAGTGCAGTTTCAATGGATTTATTCACTAATGATCAGATTCTTGTAAGACATCAAGCATATATAATACTTCAGTACCTGGAGGTCATAAGGTCTTAAGCCGTTTGCCTGCCTGAGCCTCGGCTGCCAGTTTAAGGGGTCAGGTGAACAGGAGAACGAAAGGAATGTGTTTTACCTTAAGATCTGTCCTCAGTCCTGGACTTGAATCTGGCCTTTTACTTTTATTACGTCTGGCAATTAAAGCTTGGCTTGGGTGGATCCCCAAATACCAAGTTACGTGTTCGTCACCCATCCTTAATGATACTCGGACTGGGTCATGATGTCAGTATGACTTGTCCTTTCCCAGGATGTAAGAATGAATTTCAGAAACAATTGTCCTCTAGCTGTGTTTGATGTGTTAGAACGTCTACTTAATACATTCGGGACTTTTCCTAGGATGCCCCCACCCCCCTAGAGGCTGCACATAGCCCTACATGCTGTAATAATCAAAGAAATTATCTTAAAATAGAGGCCTGGTCTTAGTGGTTCAAGGCCTTGTGCTTCTTGCTGTTGTCAGGACACGGTGCCACAGGTGGGGCTGTGTTTCCACCCTGCCTGCCCCCTCACTCACTCTCACAAAAGGACGATTAAAGAAAACAGCTATTTCCCACGAGGCATAAACTATAGACTGCATTCAATGTGTGCATCAGGTTTGCAAACACATGGTCAGTGACCGTGCAAGGACCCCAAATGTTAAGGTATCTGTGTGATGAGAGAGGAAAGCCTTAAAGTCAACATAAATACTCGTCCATTGCCTTTTATAACATGGTAAAAGCAAATATAAAGGCTTTTAGAGCCAGTCGCTCCAGGGACTTAGGGTGTAGTCAGCATTTAGCTTGTTGGCCTGACTTAAATGGAAGGGTGTCCACATCACGGACTCCCCTGAACAAAGCAAAGCCACTTTTAATTTATTTTTCTGAGAAATAGGGGGAGGGGGAATCTATTGCTTGGATAAAACAAACACAAATAATAAAAAGAGCTCTATTCAAAACAAACTTAGAGGTAAAGAGACTGCTTTTTAAATTTATTTATTTATTTATTTTTTATTTTTTATTGAAGTACGGTCAGTTACAGTGTGTCAATTTCTGGTGTACAGCACATTTGCAAATGTTAGCCACTATAAATATAAATAGACTTTTTAAAAACAAGTTTCTTCTTGTAGCACAGGGTACGATATTCAATATCTTGTAATAACCTTTAGTGAAAAAGAATATGAAACTATATGTATGTGTGTACAAAGAGACTGCTTTTTAAATAAACCACCAAGGCCAACCTGAGAAGGTCAAGTTGTATTTACATATATATTTGGTGGAGCGCATAGAATAAGGTCCAATTTTATTTCCGTTCAGACAGCACTGCACCAGGTTAGTTGGGACCGTGGTTGCTTTCTGGGTCACCAGATTCTTTCACTACATAAAGAGTCAAGCAAGAATATGAAAATGAATATATGTATATATATATGCATGACTGGGATATTAC